AAGTCGCGAGAACACACTGAGTTTGGAACTGGTAGAGATTGTCAGCCAATTTCCCGTGATTGGTCGTCGACTCATTCAACGTGGCCCGTGGCGTCACTGGCCAAGTGCAGTCAAACCCGTCGGCCGTCGTGACCCGTGCTCGTTGCCATGCTGGGCAACTGTGAAGTTCTGAGTGAGCTCGGGGCTGAGATGGCCAATGTGTGAAAAATCAAAAGGTGAAGCACTGGTGGGTGTGTAGTATGTGTGCGCTACATTCCATGTAATGTTTTGCTGATGTATTGTTGGGCAATTCTTCCAGATTTTGCTGCGCCGCGCTGAGTGACGACATGGCTGGCGGCATGTCCCCAAAAAGCACTGGCCCTGCACCAGACATCAAGACACCTGAGGCGAGTGTACTTCATTGAATGTGTGTTTGGGTGACTTCTTCACTGCTGAAGATTATCGCTGATAGTTTCACGTTTAATTGTAAGGACCCAAGACTTAGAATCGGTACTGCATTGTTGCAGCGAGTTTTCAGTTCTTTTTGATTTCGAGCGGCGTGGCAGGCCAGCAAGTTTCCAAAGAACGGCATTGTTTTGGGTGACGGGCGCCTAGAACGATTCACTCCTTTGTGCCGACCGCGAGCTGAACCTATGAAGATTAGATTGGTTCTTCGCTGCGATGAGTTGAGACCAGTTTGGGTTGGGTGGGAAGTTGGTAGTCTTAGTCCTTGCCTGCGCCATTGTTTCCGCAGCAAAGGTTCCGGAGAAGGTCAAGAAAGAGAACCCAAAGACAGACCGTTTTGTCACCAAGCCACTCATTATGGGGACATTTGGAACGCTGCGTGGGCTCCTCAACTCCTAGTTTATGTTTTTTTGACATATGATAAACGCAGGCCATCCGCAAGTCACCCCCATTCAATTCGTGCCACGCGCTCAGGGTGTTTCTCGAGCACTTCTCGTGCGAACACTAACTATCTCTCGCTTCGCGGGAAGCAGGACATCAGCTTCTTTTCGTTCATGGTGGAGTGATCTCAGTTCAACCCAGAATAGAGTTGGTCTTTGTTTCTTGGCCTCTGAATTTCCTACCATATGATTTTGCAGGACCTGGCAACGCAGATTTTCTGGTGGGACAAGTTCAAGCGTGCTTGCAAGGACCATCAGATCAGACGGAAGACACTGAAGTTCATTCCGCCATATTTTGGAGAATGGCTGGTTGGTTCCTTGCAACAAGACATTTGAGTCACAGTCCCATGCCTTTGAAGATTTGTTTGGCTATGGATGTCTCCCCAAAATCCTACTATGATTGAGGCTTGCCAGCCGGTTGGACATCTCCAGATGAGGGGGCTGTAGATGCAGCGCAGATGGCTAACCTTTTCCCAGATGTCCCAGTTGGAATCTCAAAGACTTTTTTCTTTGGATGGATTTGTGCGACCTCCTTGTGAGGGAAAGCTGACGCCATCCATTTCGCTGTTCTCGGGCGTTGCTGGCCTGGAACTGGGCCTACGTGAGTTCCAGCCTTAAACTTTTGGCCGTGTGATGGCGGGTGACAACAGTCTGTTCTGATTCTACGTTCATTTTGTTGTTTGTGGAAAGGTTTACCCGCAGCATCGCATATGCGAAGCCCTGAGAACCAATGTTCAATAGCTCACTTCAAATTTCAGTGAAAGCCTTTGTCCATGTCAGGTTGAGGCAGATAACTACTGCAAAGCAGTGTTGGCGGCGCGGATGCGGGACAACTTGATTCCGCCAGGGCCAATTTACCCAGATGTCTGTGTTTATGAACCAACCGAGTATGAGAAGCAGACTGCCGAGTCCATGACTGCTGGGTTTCCATGTCAAGTTCTTTGGGCTATAAATTTAATATAAGGTAACTACTGTTACATTGAACACCCTGGCAATGCAGTTGCAGATTGACTGTCGCTGTGCTGGTTGCACTTTTTGGTGTCATTTCAAACGACATATTGTTCCAATCCGTCGTCGCGGTGCCTAGGGAATTTGCAAAGCAGGCTTGATGCAAGGCCTGGATGACCCGAGAAGCGGTCTCATTGCAGAGGTCTTCAGGGTGATTGACCAGCTACCGCGATTGCTTCGCATTTGCGCTTCAGTTAGTTTTTTGCTAGCTTTGCGTTACCCTTCTCTTGACTTTTTTTCTTTCCGTTTGTGAAAACGCTTGAGGAAGTGGGTCCTCCTTGAGAACGTATCGCATTTGCTGTCAGCCAAAATGATTGGCGTGATGTCTTATATCATGGAGGAAAGGTTCTAGATCATGTTAGAAGGTGTTCTCACGCTGCTGTGGTATTGACACCAGGAATTTCAACGACGTGGATTCCGACTGCGCTGGACTTGCGTGACTTGTCATATGGTGGGAATCAACGTGAGATCCTCAGACTGATTAACAGCAGGTACCCTTCAATTCCGGGCCTATTGGCAATTTAAGTTGCGCCAGGTATACCGGGAGCGTGTGTTTCTCCTCGCTTCAAAGCGCGATTGCCGCTCTGAGGCCTGACTGATCAATGATTAATTTAGACATTCTTTTGTTCTGGCTTTGATTGCGTGCAGGATGTGGCTCTGATGAATTCTGCTGAGATGCTGACCGCCGCGCAGAGGCCTTGGAATCCTTGCGGGCGAAGGCCCGTGCATGAGTGGCTGGTTGGTGACAGTGACGCTGAAGATCAGTCTCGCATCAAATGTTTGGGCAACATTGTCATGCCCGCCTGCGCGAGACTTGGGATGCATTTGTTGCACCATTCTCTTCAGTCAAACCCTTGATGGGCCCTGGCTGGTAGTATACTCATAATTTGGCAAGCTGTGGGCGCTGGTGCTTCTGTCATGTTGAAATGGTCCTAGTGTCCATCAACAATCATCCTATTAGAGGCCACTTCATTGTTTACGGTGCCTCCTGCGCAGCTTCAATTCTAATTCGGCGTACAGTGTTGCACCTGAACCTGAACCAATGAGTCCCTGCAGCTTGAGTCCTGCAGATCTTTGGCATGGGCTTGAAACAGTCCATGCGCTTTCGCCTTGGTCCTTAATTATGCTGCCAGTTTCTTGTGTTCATGAGGCGTTGCCAGTCTGTGCAACGCAGTCCTTGCCCTTGCTTCACAGATTGCTCTCAAGTGGTAGACTGTTGTCACATTAGTTGTTGTGGAGGGATGGCCCCCCGTGTCAATGATTCAGATTCTGAAGCCACTCTTGTCCTCGGTGCTTCTCCACCTATGCGGCGTGCAACGAACCGAGTCAGTTGTCAATGTCAGGCGCGTCAAACCTGTTGAGGCAAAGTTCAAATCGTACCAAGAAAGAACGCAATGTTTGAACTGAGTTGTCAGAGCATTCAGCGTCAGAATAGTTGAGGTTGTTTCAAAGTCGTGGATTTCCAGATCGTTTGACCTTTTTTGGAGGAGCCTCATGAGTCTGGTGAGATTGAGTTTCATCTAGAGTCGGACCCAGAGATTTTGCCCGACAAGCAGCTTTCCAATCAGGCCATGTGTCGAAAGAGAAATCTTCCTTCCCACAAACTTTCACCTCGCAGGTCGAGGGTGATTCTGCGAAGTTGGACACACCCTATTATCCAAGGCAAGGCTCCCAGCACGTTGTGAACTATATTACTTTCCTAACTTAATTAAGGATTTGACACATAGATGTTGTGTGGAGCAAAGCAGTAGAATAGGGATAAGTCAAGTAACATTGCTTTCAATTTGATGCCAGGAGGGGGGTCACGACTACTAGCAGAGCCACAGGAGTTCTCATTCAATGTTTTTTTGGGCGCATGCCCAACCATTTCCCGGCCAGTGACTGTGAACTTGTACAATTGAAGAACTGTTCTTTTTGAATTTATCACTGCCCAAAATGCATTGGTCTTCACTTGTTGCGCAGGACCCTGCTGTTCCAAAGGACCTTCAGGATTCCCAAGGTGCTTGACAAACTCCTCAAGCCTTCAGTTTGCTTTCCTTTGATGTCAGTAGTTGTGGGTAAAACTTGCTTGCTGTCAGTAGTGGATCATCGTTTTGTGCAGTAGGTGGTGCCTCACGCAAGCCTCCACCACCAACGTCGAAGAGCCGCAGCCGCAGTCCTCGTGGGCGCAGTGATGCTAGTTTGTTCGTTCGCAAGCGTTCTGGCTTCTTCCCAAGCCAGCCGTCAGTAAATTAGTTTCCAATTTTAAATAGAAGGATACTAGTTCTATACTATATATTATATTGTTGTTGTATATTTTTTGTAGCTGGTGAACAGCCTTGACATTCAACTTTGAATGTCCTGTTCTTCCTTCCCTCTGAACTATTTCGTGATCGCGGCCAGGAACAAATGGCTTTTGTTGACTCCCTGCTGTTTGTTCACTGTCACGTGTGTGCAGTGCTCTGTTTCTCCCCATAGCAGTTGGCAAGACACATTCAACATTGTTAAGTTGTTATTCTAGGCCCAACATCAGGTGGTAGTAGAATAGTATGCTGCGCACTTGTTTTCTGGCCTGTGGCCCATGCTGGTCAGTGTGAGTGCCCTGTCTGACGATGAAGATGCAGCTGCTTCCCCCCAAGGGGAAACGTCAGCCTTTCGTTTCGAGTGGTAGCAAGGCTGATGCCAAGCCTGCAGGGCCAGTAAAGCGGAAAGCTTCAAGCCTGCTTCTGGTCGCCAAAGATCCAGCTTTGATGGTGGCGCACGTCAGCAAGTTGGTATCTAAAAGGTGTCCCTGTGCCGTCAAAGCGAAGAAACTCCAGATTGCCAGTTGCTACTCCAAGTTCCGGGAAGACAGGCAGTTTACAGCGTTGACTTCTTTGCGGAAGGAACTAGTGCAGCTGTCCAAGGAAGACGCTGACAGAAAGGTTACTTAGCAAGATTCCCAGAGAGGTATGGCGCCTGTTGCCTTCCACAATGTGTGTTCAGATGTTACGAAGAGTTTGGTTTGTACGGCGTGGTTTATATAACATTTTTGGGGCAGGTAGTGACTGTTTGCCAGTTGTCAGAGCATTGACTCTGACTGCATTTCTTTTGCCAAAAGCATGTGGGCCTTTGACATTGTTGTCATTCAACGTCATGATTTTCCCATATTAGCTGGGAAGCCTTCAAAAGCAAACGCGTTCAGAATCATTTCTGGCGCTTCAGGTTTTTAACATCTTGGCACAATTGGACCCTGTGACGCAGCGGCCAGCTGATGCTGCGGCCAACAAGCTCCATTTGCTGGGGCGCCGAGTGTGCTTGAAAGGTTTGGGCCACCTCTTGGGCATAGGTTCAAGTCGATTGTTGAGGTTGCGCGCGGGGCTTAAGCAAGGCGACTTTACTTGCCCTTTGGATGGACGCTTGCGAAAAGCTGGGCGTGCACTAGTGAACTCAGGCCAGAGTCAGAGTCACAAACGAGAGCTCGTGCACCAGTTCCTAGCCGAGATGTACGTGCGCCATTCGGAGCCAATGCCTGAGGTATCTTCAGCTCACAACAACCGGGCTCAGTCAGACAAGAGTCTGCGATTCCGGCGGGTGAAGGGAAAAAGACGAAGGATGATGAAGAAACGTGACACCAAGCTCACACCATCCCAAGGACAGGAACTTAGGCTTCTTCCCCCGGGTTCTTATGTAGACTGGCTGCGGCTCTTCAATGCACGGAATGAACTCTGCCAAGTAAGCTTCAAGCTCTTCTGCCGAGTCGCTTGACATTGGGACGCGACCGTGGTGAATGGTTTTAAGGTTCTTCTAATAATTCTCAATCGTTTGATGCCCAAGTTTTTTTGCCTATCAACGAAAGAGGTTGTTGCAGAGTTGGTCATTGAATGATAACCCTATTACTTGGAGTGATTCCAAGGTTTGGGAAGAGAGCTTCTCGAATTTGCTTCGGGTTCGTGCGCCCTCCCAGCATGGGAAATGCTCGACGTGCTTTCAGCACAAGGAGATCATTCGGAAGTTGGGCTCCAATGAGAGTGCTCGCCAAGCGCAGATCAAGTTGTGGGGGAACCACATGGAGAGACAGTCCCGCGACCGAAATGTCTACTGGAACGCCAGGGCTTTAAGCCGCCTGGGATGTGACCAAGATGGCAAGCGGATCCTCACACTGATCTTGGATTCTATGGATCACAGCAAATGGATGATTCCACGGTCGAAGATCTTTGGAAGCAAAGCTTTCTCTGGCATGGTGCGGCCATGCATGGGGTGCACGGGGCTTCTGGCCCATGGCCACTTGGTGATGGTGGCATTTTCTGAAGGCCACATTGTGAAGGGCGCCAACTGGACAATTGAGTTGCTATCGATTGCATTACAGAAGCTGGCGACTGTCATCGACTTACGCGAGTATTCCCTCCACATACAGGGGGATAACTGCAGCAAGGAGCTGAAGTCAAACTCAATTTGCAGGTATCTCGCCCTCCTCACCTCTCGCCACCGCGTGAGGAATGCGCGTCTCATGTGCTGTGCCTCCGGGCACAGCCATGAAGACATCGATCAGTTCTTTTCATTGCTCGGTGCATTCCTCGAAGTCCAGACAGAGTTGCACACCCCAAACCAGTTCTTGAATGCACTTTGCCAGTATTTGGCCAATGCTTCTGTACGCCCTCTTGAAAGCATGCGTGATGTTCGGAAGATTGATGTTGTTCGCGCCTGGTACACTGGTTGCAATGCAAGGGTTTTGGTAATGTGTTGAACGCTTCAAAGTAGTAGACTTTCTGCTGCCGTTTGAGCTGAGTTGCGCAGTCAATGTTTAGGGTTTGAGCCATTCTCTCGCCCAGGAAAGAGTGGTTGCAAATTGGATTCCATTGCAACCACCTTAAAGGAATTGGGGGGCCAGGTGCCCCCCATGCATTCTTCTTTGACAGATTTGAAGACGTGCGAGGCAGTTCGCGCGAGGGACGTTGCGCTTGTGTTGCGTTGTAGTTATTTGGAGTTCTTGGTCCCCTGCGCGTTGACCCGCCTTGGTTTATCCTTTTTTGCTTTTCAAGCGCCAGGAGTTGTGGATGAAGCTTCCATTTGCAGAGCTTTTTGGAGAAAACGCGGAGTTGTTGACACTCACGGCAACGATATCCTGTTGAGGCGTTTGTTTTGCCTACATGTTGCGAGTTGTTCATTTGCGTGCGCCTACCCGCATCCAAACCTGCTTTGATTTGTTTACTACATGTCAAGGGTCAGACGGACTGTCAGCTCCACTGCTGGCAGGACGAAGCAATACATGTCTGACGTGGACTACAAGAAGAAAGTCTTCCTTTATGCTCCCGCGTGTGTTTCTGCAAGGTTGCGGGGATCTCCAGAAGGCGCCGCGGCCTATTCTTGACTACAATGTGTGATCTTTGTTTGTGTTTGCTATCAGTGGGTGTGTAATTGTTTGCGTGTTCTGTGCTCCTTCGTTTGTCTTTTGGTCATTGTATGCCGTTTGTTGTTGACTTTGCGTGTAACGTTTGTTTGTTTGCTTCTTTGTTTGTTTGTTAGCTTGCTTATTAGCTGGTTGGCTGGCAGTTTCCTCGTAGGTTGGATCAGCGCCAACAATGCACCTAGAATAGTGGGAGCCTTTCGTGTTTTCGTGTGATGTTGTAGACATTGAAACATCAAATTCTAGACATGTCTCATGTTGGTTTAAAGCTCACTGCCAGTGCCAGCCCAACACGAGAAATCAACAGTTTTTTGTTCGTTGATTAAAGTTGATGTTTACCATTTTGGAATTTGGCCCCCTCAAGTGGCAATTTTCCACTTTGGGTTCACTTTTAACAAGTGTCCTGGGGGGGCCCGTTTTTTAGATCAAAAAACGGGTCCCCAGGTCACTTGTCAATACTAAGAAATTCACCCAGCTCCAAAGCCGAAACCAAAAGGAAAATTGCCAGCCTCAAGTCTTACATCCATTGCCCTAGACCACTGCTTTGAAGGGGCCAACTGGGACTTAGGGGTGACCCAACCCAAGTGGAAATTTACACCAAAAAGTTTTCATGGGGAGTCGCTCCCAAGGCGATGGGGTTCATATTATTTGCGGGGTGCCGTTTTGGAAACGAAACATACATTTTAATCGGAACAGTCATGACGATGTGCCTCCAAACAGAAGCTCCCTTTACTTTGCCTGGCAGCTGAGTTGCTGCGAGCGAGTCTACACTGGACCCTAAGACTGCGCACGACTATCAGAAGTTTGCAGCACTGATGCGACGCTTTGAAGTTGTTAACCTTGGAGTTTCCTTGGTGTTGGCAGTCTTGGTAGAGCCACAGAACATCATATTGCGCAACTCAGGACGCTTTCCGTATGAAATGCATGATGCTGCTGACTATCTTGACATGCTCGCCAATGGTGATGCACCCCGCGAGATGTTGGCGCCGCTTGGATCGTGCCTGGGCAACAATGTTCCATCATGTTCATGATCTATCCTTTAACCCCAAAGCTATGTCTATTCTGAACCCAGGATCTTCCCAACGGACGGCCCTGCAGTCGGACGAGGATGCCAGCACATGGGGGTCAATGCGACTGGCTATGACCTCGATCCGGTTTCTAGACAATAGACAGCCACACATACCCCACAAAAAATCCATGCAATGCCAAGTTGCGATTTGATATTTATCAACAGGAAAGAAAAGATATCTTGATATTTTCCACATTAAGGCTGACAACATCCTGGCGATGCAAGCAGAGGGTCTGAAGAAGGATCACTTGGACAAATACAAGTCCAAGCGTCGTTCGCATCATATGTACAGAGCAGCGTCGCGTTTGTGGGCAGCTGGACTGCCGTGGGAGCAGGCCTTCGCCATAGTCAAAGAATCATTTGACGCGGTGATTGCAGATTCATAGGTATTTTAGTGCGGGTTGACACAGGATGTGGACTAGTCGTTCAACTTTTTTAGAACTCAATAGTAAATAGACTTAATGTGTGATACAGCTTTCACCACCACCAACCATCTATTTTGTGAAAAGTTGTTCTACACAAATTTCAGCGGTCCACGATCTATCTCCGCACAAAGCCTGCCAACCGCACCCAGCTGATGTATGAGTTGAACTCTAGTTGGATTTCACTTAAAAACCTAGTTGAAAAGTTGTGTTTCCAACATGGCCCAATGTGTTGTTAACCTTATCTGGAAAGCTATGTTTGTAGGCAGGTTTAGAGTTGAATCCTAGTTGGTTTTCACTCGAAATGATGGGGTGCGACCAATCCAGTCTTTGTGAGGGTCACTGGGTTTTCAGGGGTGATTTTGTGAAGCAAAGCTTTGCAAAGTGACGCTGGCTGCCATCATGGTCCACGGAAAGTCCACTCAATCTGGTAAACCCTAAACCCTAAACTCAAAAAGTTCAGAAAATTTGGGTGCGGCATGGACATTTAGGGGTGAATTTTTTGATTAAGAAGTTGGATT